TTACTTTTCTAATTCATTTTACAATTTGCAAAACTTAAATATTATTTTGAATTAAAGTTAATATAATTTGACTTAACTTCATCTCTTAGAATGTAGATTTGGATCAATTCAACCCTACAAAAATTATTTGTAAGATGAATGGTCTCCTTTATTTATATACTCTTCATTAGTCTTATTTTTATTTATTTTTTTTTTTATTTTAATGATTTAGGACATATAGGACTTAATTTTTTTTCCAATACATTTCTCATGCACAACATTATTGAACTTGTTGTATATGTAAATGATGGGTAACCCTTTTTAGTAGATATAAGATAACTCTGATATGATTTTAGAATGTGAATTTTGACTTAACTTAACCCTACAAAATTGATATAAGAAAGTGGTTTAGGAGTCTAACTCAATCTTACAAAATTGGTTTGTAAGGTGATGGTTACACACTACTTATATACACTATATTAGTCATACCATTAGTTGATGTGAGATCTCAACACACCTCCTCATGTCAAAGATTGGACATTTCAAGCATAAAATTTGCAAAACTAAATATTTGTAAGTGGTTTGATAATGACTCAATAGCAGGTGACCTAATAATAGCAAACAACATTTAATAATTCTTAGGATATGTTCTAATGTCATATTTAGAAAGTTATTTAGAAACTTAACTTTACTTTACAAAATTGATTTATAAGGTGATGGTTGTTTCCTACCTATGTACACTATATTGGACATAACATCAGTCGATATGGGATCTCCAATATGATCACTTATGTTTGTTACTAGTATTTTAACATGTTCCTTACAATGACTAAATGTTTGATATATATATATAACTAAATTTTATAATAAAATTATAGGTTTAAATATTATTTTCATCTTGTAATTTATTTATTTTTTACTTTTGGTCCTTATAATGTTTTTTGTTATTGTTTCATCCCTGACCTTTTATAATATTCAAATTCTTACTGTTAACACTTGTTAAAAAAATCCTATGTGAGAAACAGATTACATTTTATATTTGTTATATTTTACTTCACTATTGTCACATAGGTAAATTAATTTTAATTTTTTTAGACATAATTTCAAAATGTTATTCACTACACTCAAACCCTTACTCCTATTATCACACTTTCTCTATGATCCAAATGTGGTACTATAAACCCTAAACCTCCCAATCCAAACCTCAACCCCCTTAACAATGAATAGTTTCTCACAATTTGTGATCTTGACGATGGTCGAGTTTGTCCCTAACGATCATTGCCTCTTCGAAGTTACCACCAATTGCCACCTCGCCATGGGGGAGTTTGATCTCACTTAGCTACTCCTTCATTGTAAAGGAGATCATGCACCGTAAGAGTGTCCACCACTCTGTTAGCACCATTGCTAATGTCGCCTCCTCCAAGGTTAAAAAGAATTGTATCAATTGACTTAGGACAATTAAAATTGTTGCCACTTATCGTAACTGTTGCAACAACAACGAGTGAAAAACCTTATTGGAGGAGGAAGACTGGTAGTCCAACTTTGTCACTTACAATAGCTAGTGACAACAATGAAGTAAATTTTGAAAATTTGTCTAATCAATTTACTTACGTGGGAATGGTGAAGTAGAATATAACGAATATAATATGTATTTGTTTAGCAAATAAGAATTTTTTAATGGAATTGATCACAGGGACTATTTTTGAAATGTCATAAAAAATCAAGGATGAAACAGAAACAATTTTTTTTAACAAAGACTAAAAATAAAAAGGTAATAAATTATAGAAATAAAAATTATATTTAAGCTTAAATTATATATATATATATATATATATAG